TCTTCGTCCATGCCCCAGTTCCAAGCCTGGGTCTTCCGGGTCAGCTTGTGGAGCGGGCGTGCCTTTTCAGAGAAGTCCTTGATGAACCAGTGGTAGAAATTTACGAACCCCAGGAAGGACTGCACCTCCTTCACCTTGGTTGGGGTGGGCCAGTCAAGGACTCCACGGACCTTTACAGGGTCCATCGCAACGCTACCCTCCAAGATGACGAGGCTGAGGTACTCGATCCGGGTCCGCTCGAATTTGCACTTCTCTGGCTTCAGGAATAGCCTCCTCTTCCGTAGCATTTCCAGGACCTCCCGGACGACCTTCCGGTGCTCCTCTAGGGTAGCCGTGAAGATGAGGATATCGTCCATGTAGCAAATGACGACCTCCCGGTCAATGAAGTCCCTGAGGATATCATTCATCATCGTTTGGAAGGTCGTGGGGGAGTTACACAGCCCGAAGAACATTACCATGGGCTCGAACAACCCTCGGTTGGTTGCGAACGCTGCCTTCCACTCATCTCCATCCTTGATCCGGACATTGTTGAACCCCCAGCGTAGGTCCAGGGCGGAGAAGTACTTAGCGCTCCGGAGGCGGGCGAGGACGTCTGAGATCAGCGGGAGTGGGTACGAGTTCTTTACGGTAATCTCGTTCAGCTTCCGGTAGTCCTGTACTAGGCGTAGTGACCCGTCTTTCTTTTTGACAAAGAAGACTGGTGCCCCCATTGGGGACTTGGACGGTCGTATGCGCCCGTTCTGCAAGTTCTCGCGCAGGAACTCGTCCAGCTCTTTCTGTTCCGGCCGCGAGAGGGGGAAGGTCTTTCCCCTGGGCAGCTTGGCGTCTGGTGCCAGGTCTATGGCGTGGTCCCAGGGCTTCCGGGGGGGAAGCTGGTCGAAAGCTTCCTTCGAGAACACGTCCCGGAAGTCTTGGTAGTGCTCTGGCACTAGCGTCTCAAACGACGCGGGTTCTGCGCCTGGGTCGCGGGCCTCCTGGGCCATCCGCTGAGAGGGGGTCGTGGTGGCTCTTAGGTCGTGTCCCCAGCCTGGGGGGATGATTGCAGCGTAGATCCCGTCCCCCGGCTCTAGGGCAGGGTCTTGGTCCTCTCGTGCTTGTGGCTGTCTGCAGGAGGACGGGCAGCGAGACATGACGACCTTCTGCCGTGCCCAGTCCACCTCTGGGTTGTGGTGTAGCAGCCACGAGTGACCAATGATGAGGGATTGCCGCCCGAGGTTTGCGACCGCGAAGCGGGCTCGCTCTGTGTGCTGCCCGAACGTCAGGAGGGCTTCCAGCTCCTCAGTTATGGCTCCATTCTCGTTCGGGGTCCCGTCGACGTTACGGACGGGGATAGGTTGCGGGAGTGGGGTTGTCTCAAGCTTGTGCTTCCGGACGAACTCGGGGCTCACGAAGTTCCCGGTGGCTCCTGAGTCCAGGAGGGCCGATACAGACACTGACGCGAGTGAGGTTAGGGTGGTCAGTTTGACCGTGAGGTTAAGGGACCGGGGGGATTGCTTGGAAAGAACGTAGAGAGCGGGCGGGGATACTGCCACTTCGGGCATTCCCTCTGTGGTCCTTCTACTCTCACGGGTTGAGGATGCGGTTTTCCTCTTTTTCTTTGCGATAACTTGGTGAAGTTTTGGCATTGGCGCTGCCTTACGCACACTGCGGTATTTACACGAGCTATCCTCTACGGGTGGCCGGGACGCATCCCTCACCGGTCGCCTTCCTGAAAATCCCCCTGAGTCTCTGTTTCCGGCTCTGCTTCCTCTGCCTCTGGTCCTTCAGTCAACTGCCTTTTCAGCCCTTCCATCAGCGCCCGAAGGTCTTCAGGGTGGAGGCGTCGTGCCCGGCGGACCTTGGGGTGTGGGCAGTCTCGCTGGATGTGCCCCGGGGTGTTACAGTTGTAGCACCACCTCTGGTCAGTTCTCGAGCGGTCGAGATCCATTGGCTGTGGGCCCGCTCCCGTTGTGGGGCGGGCTGCTGGGGTAGGAGGTGGAGGAGCGGGTGCGAGTCGAGGGGGCGTGGGTGTGGGTTGTGCGTGAGGTGGGGTCACAGTCGGCAGGGGTTGGGTTAACGGGAGCGGGGGTTTAGGTGGAAACGCACACGGTTGGGTGGCTTGGAAGCGTTGCCACTGGTTGTCTAGGAGGGTGGCCTCACGTTTCCACTCTGCCCAAGTAGTGGGCATGGGGCGGAGCCGGTATATGCTCTCCCAGAGGCGGGAGTTAATGGCCTGCTCGAAACGGTCAACCAGTCCCACATCACCCAGCCTCGAGGCGGGCCCCAGTATCTCGAACTCTTGGATGACCTTGTCCACAGAGTTGCTCCCCTGTCGGATGGCTGCCAGCTTCTGTCTGGCCGTGGCCTCCCGGTTCGGGTCCTGGAACATGGCGTCGAGTTCAGTGTTGAACTCGTCCATGGTGAGGGAGGGGGATCCGGCCGTCAGCAACGTGATCGTGCGTTGCGTTGCCCATGCCCCTGCAGGTCTTCCTTTCATGTAGGACAGCACGAAAAGAATTTGGGAGAGGGCGGTGGGGAATTCAGCCGCGCGAACGTGGAAGTAAATCCCACACTTGGCCTTGAAGCGGTCCAGGTCCTCGCTGGCTCCTGAGAAGGGAGTGGGGGGGCGACCTTGGGTGGTTTGGGTCTGGGCGCGGGAGCGGGTGCAGGGGCTGGCGCGGGAGCAGGTGCTGGAGCAGGTGGGGGTGGGGGATGGTTGCGGGCCTGGTTCTCCACAATGGCTTGGAGCTCTTGGAAGCGAGCTAGCAGCTCCTCATACTGCTCTTCTGACACCATGGCTGGGGAGGCAGGGGAGATAGGGGAGGCGGGGGAGACGAGGTTGAAACCTTCTTCTGCTGTCAGGGACGCGTCCGGGGTGGAGGGGGCCCGGCTGTAGTGCCCGGCAGAGGGACCCTCTCGGGGGACGAAGCGGGCGCGCGTACTGACGGGCCCGATCTGGGACTATAGTCCCTGGCCACTTAGACTGAAGTGGAAAACGTGAATTGTTATTAAAAGGAAGAACTACACTACTTACCTGAAGTGGAAAACGTGAGAAGAAGGTTACTTCTTCAGTTCCCACTTCAGGTACATTTATGTACATGCGGCTTGGGTCACGTGACGGGTGCCACATCATCTGCGGAGAGGGCCGCAGCCATCCGGGTATCCCCGCAGGGGATCCCGAGGGCATCCGCGCATGCTGGGCGTAGTGGGAGGTCGCCCGGGGTGTCCGAGCCGGACGGGTCAACAGTACAATGATACAAGGGAAGGTGGTCCATGTAAATAGAAAGAATAAACAGAAAGGGAGAGTGAAATAAAGGAGGAAGAGAAAAGAGGGAAGAGGGAGGAAGGATGGGTAGCAGGGAGCGGGTGAGCGGGTGAGCGGGTGAGCGGGTGAGCGGGTGAGCGGGTGAGGTGGGCCCAGGTGGGCCCGGGTGGAACCGGGTCAGGCGGGTGTGCCCTGACAAGGGGCAAGCAGGGGAGTGAGCAGGGAGTCCTCAGGGAGGATAGGGCTGAGGTCGGGGCTTGCGCTCACGCTTGCGTAGCGGTAACGGGCTTGGGCAGCATCGGGATGGGTGGGGAACGGGCCGGAATGCATGGCCATGACAATTTGGTCCTTAATTTCAGAGGTGGCGAGCAGGAAGTCTCTAGGGGGCATTTCAGGCTGATTTTAGACTAAGGGCCTAAAACGAGTATGTACAAGTGCTGGTATATCATGGAGAGGGCGAAAGCATGAGGAAACAAGGAGGGTCCAAATTGGAACAAAGGTGTCCAAATGGGACAAAGGGAAGATGAAAGCGGAGCAGTACCAAAGGTCATAGGTCAGAACCTGTGGTACATCCGAAAGGAGATAGGGAGGGCAAAGCCCAGAGGGGCAGGAGGAAGAGGTGAAGTGGGATGATGACTAACTGGCTAGAATGGGAAGAAGCAGCAGTCCAAATAAGGATGAGGGGAAAATGCAAAAGATACATTACAAGCAGTGAAAGTGCTGAGTATGATCCATGAAGCTCAGAGGTTATGGAGGTTATGGAGGTGGGGTTGGAAGTCTGAGGAATATTGGCAATGGTGTTTATGTAGTATGAGGTCACCAATGCAATGGACTTAAGCCAAGGTGGAGTCAAAGTCCGAGGTCGGAACTATGATGGAATCTCGGAGCAAAGGTATGAGCGGTGTCCAAGTACAGGGTAAGGGACAGCGGCGGAAGGTCGTAACTTGGCAGAGGGTTGGCAGGAGAGGGTCAGAGGAAGGAGAGAGAAGAGAGGAACAGAGAGAGGAGTGGAGGAGAGGAAAGGTGTCAGGCCCGAAGGTGAGTATCGGAGCGGACGGGAGAAGGGTAGGAGAGTGATGGAAGGGTGGAGGAGTAAGAGGAGGAGGGTGGCAAGAGGAGTGGTGTTCGGTCTGAGGTGAGTATCAGAGCAGATGGAGATAGGGTAGGAGAAGGATGGAAGGGTGGAGGTGGCATGAGGGGTAAGAGGAGGAGTGGTGTCAGGTCTGAAGGTGAATATCGGAATGGACAGCGGTAGAGTAGGACTCCGGAGGTGGTGAAGATGGGGGTCCGGGAGTCGGATTGGGATCAGGTATGTATGGATATGACACCCTAGAGACTTCCTCCTCACTATGTCTGAAATCAGGGACCAACAGGACAAACAGCAATGGCACAGTGCTCCCCTTGAGTCGCTGAGGCCAAGGTCCCTCCTTGCTAAGTCTTTAGTTCCACTCCGGAATCATCTGCTCTCACCCCGTTCTAACACTAGAGTTATTTCCCTCTTTCTAGAAGACTCAGTCCACAAATTAGGGCACCAACATGTTACTGGGCACAGCACTCCTGGTAGAGTCGCTGAGGCCATAGCCCTCCAAACACAGAGTCACTTTTGTTTGTCCCAAATCTGGTCTCTGACAAGAGGCTAGAAATAGGAAATTCCCATTTCCATAACAGTCTGAGTCTGAGTCTTACACAACATAGTCTTATTATTCTAATAATATAATGGACAGGATAACAAAAACACAGAAGCTGGAAAAACAGATCAAGAGTAACCTGCCTTTTCTTTAAGTGTTTGGAGAGTGTTTCCTAGAATCCGGACATCATCAGCTTTCTTGATCTCCAAATCCTCATCACCTCGCCCATCCATGAGCTCAGGACACAGTCGCTGTGATGGATACTGTACCTCCCCAACCTTCCCACCCCAATCAAAGTCAATTAACATCACCTTGTCTTCACTGCAAAGGATGTTTGGTTCGCGGAGGTCCCCATGAACAAAGTTAGCATCATGGAAAATTTGCATGAGCTTGCACAATTCATCTGCCCACTTCTCGTAGTGATCCACAAGGTTGTCAGATTCAAGGGGGTGTACAGTGGGGGTGATGTAATCCATGGCAATGCCAAACCAACCTCCTGGTAGTTCCTCATAGCCAAGAATTTTCGGAGCATGCCCTTCATTTGCACACAAAGCATGTAGTTCAATTGAGTACTGATGCGCAAATTTTACAATGATTTGCTTTGTGCCCAGATTGGCAATGTACAGATGGCGGCCATCATGTACATCGGGATGAAGCTCAAGAATCTGGAAATTGATCTCCTTGGTGTTGTTATACCCAGGCAGCTTTGAAATATATGGGAATTTGTAATTACCATGTTCAAGCTGGGGCAGTGTGTCCATGAAGTATGCTGCATCAGAGTCTATGTCACTCAACAGGCTCAATGCAGCAAAAAAGGCAGCATAAAGTGTCTTTCGGTCACGACCTTCACTTGCCGATGCAATGCATGATAGCGTGGGGGTGAGGCTGATGATGCGCCACTGACCGAGGTAAATCACGGCATGGAAGGTAATATAGGGGCCTGGCATAATGTACATCATACCGGACCCATTTGAAGACCCAGAGACGTTCAACTTACCAACAACAGTCAGACCAAGGCATGGGACTCTCCAACCCTTAAATAATGCTTCCCCACTGGAATGCTCCATTGCAACCTTGTGTGAATGTGCAACATAGGAGGCAAGCCGAACTACAGGCATTAAAGTGATGGCCTCACTGAGCTCATTTTTGAACTCAACGACGCAAGACGCTGCGTTGTGTGGTCCATTATAGTGACCATCCGTGCGAGAACCATCAATGTCGGCACCCATAAGCTTAGGGCGATTGCGAAGAGAGAGGATTCCGTTCAAAGTACGCAAGCCCTCAATCTTCCTCATCGCCTCATCTGGATAGAGTTCAGTCATCTTCTCCGCAAAAGAATCAACAGCCAGCTCGATGTTTTGTAGATCCTTATTCAGGAGAGCTGGATAAGAACTGAAGAGGTCCCAGAAGCGGCCGAAGCCATGGTATAGGAGGGAAACTGGGGGGATTGAATCCAGCGTAGGACGGTCGTCCAAGATCCTTTCATTCGGCATTCTTTGCAATGACCCGTACTCGGGCTGCTTGCTTATCGACGAAGGGGCAGTTCTGGCGAGTTTAGATTTCCGCGCAAGATCGACCTCGTCGGAAAGTTGAGGTCGCTTGCCTACCCCCAAAGAAATGAACGTCGTTCGAGCAGGTAAGGGGCAAACACAAAAATCGGTCAATCAATTGCACTCACCAATATGTGGAATTTGGACAATGACGTGCAGACTTCCATCCTGAGGTCGAGGCCAGAAGGCGTCGGACAATGTCTGCATGGATGGTAGCATATTCGCATCTGTAAGTTCAGCGTTCTTCACATTCTCCTCATAACTGCCATCGAATGGGATGGAAACCATCCAGAGTATGATGGCGTCTGCGAAAATGCGATCGAGGGTGGGGCTTTTCTTCTGAATGGCTTCCTTGAGGGCGATAACTTTCTCTTTATTCGCAATGTTGATTAGCAAGGTGTGGCTGGCGTCACGGCCACGAATGCGACAGTACAGCTTGAACAAAGGAGGATCTGATTGTGACAATAAAGATGAGAAAATAAGTCACAGACAGAGAAAGTTCCACGGACCAACAACGATGTGTAGGTTTTGATTACTAGGTGGATCGGAGAAAATGCTGGACAAAGTTTGCAAGGACAATAGTGCTGGTTGGTCTTGAAGTTCAACCCTCCCCTCAAAACTGTCGGCTGGGATGGAAACCTTCCAGAGTGTGAGGTCGATTGCGTCAATGTTTCCGAAAGCGACCGACATCTTGTCCTTGATTGCTTCCTTGAGGTCATTCACATCCTTTATATTCTGAATTTCCACCGAGAACACATAGCCAGCTGGTTTGCCAAGTATCCAGCAGTTGAGTCTGAGTTTTTTGCCAGGCATAGGTTATTGGCAAGTCCAATAAATGTTGACCGGTTTGGATGATGTACCCATTCGGTTACAACCGTTTTTCGGCTTGGTTGTCACGTGACCAATGTGGTGTCGGAGAACAAACAAAAAAAAAAAAAAAAAAAAACAGGCTAGTCAGCCAATTGACCCACCCTATCAAGGGGTGTTTTTTACGCTTCAAATAGGGCCTAAACGGCCTATTTCAATGTGGACGTCCTGGGACGTCCTGGTGATGCGGCTTGCTGCCAAAAATGGACTGCGAAAGGACTCCGGAAAGGAAGAGAATTTGCGATAATAGTGGACCTCGGTCTTCATTTGTTTTGCAGGGCCCGCTGGTAGCAGGGATACCAGCCTCTGTTGGAATAGACAACGCCACCGGCACTGGGTCTCGATCGGGCCCACAAGTGGGAAATTCGCCAAAAACGGAGCGGGTAAGATCGGTCGAAATGCCGGGTTGGTTGTCTCGGAGAGGCTACTTCCCTCTCTCTGATCATCGCACGTTGTGCGCTCGTAGCGAAGTCTTAATTTGTTCGGTGCTTCTACTCTTCGTATTTAAGCCTTGTCCACCGGTCCCGAAACTTCATTGCCACTTTCCTACTCAACACTAGCGTGATATAATTGTCTAGTATAGAATTCGCAGGGACATTATTCATGAACTCCGCCTGGCTTATCATGACCAAGCCCCACCGCAAAGGAGGTATTCTTGATCACAATCTTAGTCGTCTTTCATCCTTGTCGGCGTGAGCGACAGTGCCTGGCTGTCACTCCCTGAATATCATCACAGCATGTTTGAGAACACTCATCGTTATGCTTGGTGGATCGGCCCCGGGATTCTTTGGATTCTTGCTGGCCTTGGGACATCATATTGAAACCCATCGATTCATAGCCCGCCGCCTGCATCCTTACCTTGAGCTCGTCTTCGGGCCGTGGACCACCTATCGCAAGGTTCCGGTCAGTGCGGAATTCCTTCCTTCTACGCTTTCGGCACTACCAGTAAACGTCTAGATTAAAATGAACACTGCAACTGGCGTGTTATCGGTCAAGGTGTGGCATTGCGGATCTCCCAACGCCCGTATGTATATGTAAGTTCACCGATCTTTCACTCATGCCGTCATTCTTCTGTACGTCGTGACGGACTGTGCCGCTGTTTCCATCTTCATTCAACACGATCGTGAGAGCAAGTGCGTGGTGCATGCTCCGAATATCAGTGAGCATGTAAGCATTGCAGCATAGCTTAAGGCTCCGGCGCTTATACTGTTTCCTGAAGTGACGATGACGACGGTCCCCCAATCTTCATGAAGAACAAACCTGAGAGCTATCAACCCTTACGTTGTGTAATGTGGATCATAATTCTCCTGAAATACTTATGTAACCCTGATCACCAAGTCGTACGCCCACACAATTTAGGACCTCACTCCCGCGCGGAAGGGATTTGGTTGAAATAATGAAAACTTCGTCGAGCTCGACTCAAGGGCTTGATTGCCACGCACCACTAATAACCCTTAGTTAAGCATGTCATGGCTGGGTACAAGGAAAGTAAAAAATGAACTGAACGTCTCACACGTCGCATTGAATATTGCCGTAGTCGCATTCTCATCATCTACCCGAAAATCATGAATGATGAGAGCAGCGAGAAAAATGTAAGGCAAGCAACTTCATCTATTCGATCATTAAGGAAATACAACTTCCTAGTTAAAAATGGCCAGTTACACCAGCATTATCTTCGCCAAATGAAAACCGTCCCTCCACAAGACAATTATTTAACAAGATCAATCCATTTCGTTGATTGTGTAAGCGTTGCTACGAGAAAGAATCTCTGGGTTGCCGGCCGACAGCAAGGCTGCACGCACGCGAGCCCTCCGTTCATTAAGGGCTTGGAGACTTCAAAAAGAAATCCCCTCTCAGTTGATTTCCCGAAAAGAGGGATGACTACTCACTCGTCACGGCGGAATAAATGCTCGAGCCCTTGTATTCCAGCATTCACGAGGCCAGATCCCACACCTGAGGCGAAACCATTAACGGCCTGACTACCAACGCCACGCTCCCCGAAAGCGGGCCCATCGAGTGCTGCAAGCCTATGAACGATGGGACACAGTTCAACTTGCTACATCGAAATTATGTGACTGCGCACTCACTCGTCACGGCGGAACAAATGTTCGAGCTCATTTATCCCAGCATTCACGAGGCCAGATCCCACGCCTGAAGCGAAACCATTGACGGCCTGACTACCGACGCCACGTTCCCCGAAGGCGCGCCCACCGAGTGCCGCGAGCCTGTGAATGGGACACAGTTCAGCTTGCTGCATTGAAATCATGTGACTGCACACTCACTCGTCACGGCGGAACAAATGTCCGAGCTCATGTATCCCAGCATTCACGAGGGCAGATCCCGCACCTGACGCGAAACCATTAAAGGCCTGACTACCAACGCCACGTTCCCCGAAAGCGGGCCCGTCGAGCCTGTGAATGATGGGACACAGTTCAACCTGTTGCATTGAAAGTATGTGACTGCACACTCACTCGTCACGGTGGTTGAACAAATGTTCGATTCCAGTTACCCCAGCATTCACAAGGCCAGATCCCACACCTGAAGCGATACCATTGATGGCCTGACTACCATATCCACGTTCCGCAAAAGCGCGCCCGTTGAGCGCTGCGAGCCTGTGAACGATGGGACACAGTTCAACTTATGCAATGAAATTATGTAACTGCGCACTCACTCGTCACGGTGGTTGAACAAATGTTCGATTCCAGTTACTCCAGCATTCACAAGGCCAGATCCCACACCTGAGGCGACACCATTAATGGCCTGACTACCATACCCACGTTCTCCGAAAGCGCGCCCATCGAGTGCTGCGAGCCTGTGAATGATGGGACAGATTTCAACTTATCGCATTGAAATCATGTAACTGCGCACTCACTCATCACGATGGTTGAACAAATGCTCGATTCCAGTTACCCCAGCATTTACGAGGCCAGATCCCACACCTGAAGCGACACCATTGATGGCCTGACTACCATAACCACGTTTTGAAAAAGCGGGCCCGTCGAGTGCTGCGAGGCTGTGAACGATGGGACACAGTTCAACTTGTTGCATTGGAATTATGTGACTCCACTCACTCGTCACGGTGATTAAACAAATGTTCGATTCCGGTTACCCCAGCATTAACAAGGCCAGATCCCACACCTGAAGCGACACCATTGATGGCCTGACTACCATACCCACGTTCTGCAAAAACGGGCCCATCGAGTGCTGCGAGCCTGTGAACGATGGGACACAGTTCAACTTATGCAATGAAATTATGTAACTGCGCACTCACTCGTCACGGTGGTTGAACAAATGTTCGATTCCAGTTACCCCAGCATTCACAAGGCCAGATCCTACACCTGAAGCGATACCATTGATGGCCTGACTACCATATCCACGTTCTCCGAAGGCGCGCTCATCAAGTGCTGCAAGCCTGTGGATGATGGAACGCAGTTCAATTCGCTGCACTGAAATTACATATGTGACTTTGCACTCACCCGTCACGTACATGGTGCTTCGGCTTCGAACCATGGTGGTGGTGACCATGGTGATGGTGGTGATGATGGCGGAAGGGATGGAACCGTTGAACAAGATTGGCCCCGTTCACCCTGTTGAAACAACATTGCTGATTAGCTCCATAGACACTAACAAATATTTGCGACTCACTCATCGCGGGGTTCTTCAGCAGCGCGGTCGAAAAGGGACTCGCCACCATCGGTACGCTCTTGGTTGACATTGGCAGCCTCGGTAGCGAGCGGTGCGGCGAAAGCGGGAGCAGCAAGGAGAGCAGCAACAGCGATGGAAGTGGAAGCGCGCATTGTGGATTAATTTTAGTTAGAATATAATCAAAGACAGGAAAGACGTGAGTTTGACGCGAGCGTAAAGATAATGCAAGCTAGTAAGGCGTAATCAATATGTGCATCTTGACTGGAGAAATTTCGCCTACTGTGTCCGGCACAGAAAGTCCTAAGGAGGATTTGAACGAAGAGAAGAAAGCTTGCAATGAACGAGTTGTTGTGTGACTGAGACCAGCAGTGCGGAACCAGAAACCTTGAAGCTTCGCTCTCTTTATCCTGTCTCAAGTGCTGTGTTTCTTTGTGGCTGGGGAACTCCATCATGATGGGTGAGGTCAAGCTCCTCATGCTGTAATAATGTGATTGCCTTCTGTAACTCTACCTACAATTCTTCCACGGCAGTGTGGCATCAGTCGCCACCGCATCGTGCTCGGCCGATGCGGAAACCCTCGGGCATGCACCGCTAGTGCTTTTCCCTTGCAGCGCCAATTCTACCGCGAGCTGACCAGACCCTAAGTAGGACCCCGGCATACTCCGGAGGCCCCCCGATCCAGGAAAGGGCCGAAAATCGTGCACAAGTGCCTGAGGTCTGAGTCAGGGAAGGGCCGAAACTGTCTTTTTGGCGCAAAATGATATATCCAGGGGAGGGCCTTTTAAGGAAGGTAGGCCGAACTTTGATCTGGAAGAGGGCCTAGACGGTAACCTCCGTTCTGCAGCAAGATGTGTCCAAGTTCGCCAGTGGCACCAGGACTGCAAGAAAAATTCTATGGGGTTCCAACTTTTATCTCGGTTCTCCCACCCATACCCATTTTCAGAAAGAAGGACAACTATCAGATGGGCTTCCCCGTGGACAAGCCTTCTCATGTCCGGAGAGAAAAAGGTACTTACCTCTCGGTTACCCACTCTCAGTTCCCTGGGCAGCACTTCCCTGTGGTTCTTTAGTACATTCCTCAACTTTGCATGTCGGTATTCACTTGACCCAATAACCACGGAGTGGGGAACCAATCAGGCCCGAAGTCAGTGATGAGGGTAACAAACATGTTCAGGCATTGGGGCTGGCTGCCGTTGCCACTAACTTCCAACACACAGAGTGGCTACCGCTTGTCAATGCTGGTTTGCTTCGGAAGATTTGCATCAAATTGAGGAAAAAATACTGCTGGGAAACGTCAGCCCCCTGCGTGGACTTGGTTTTTGTCCTTCACCTTGGAAAAATATCCCTAACACATCTGGCATTGCGCGCTACTGGCACTAGCTGACAGAAACTTAATGATCATAATTTATCGAAATAATGGTCAAAACCTGCCACACCACTATGCTGAAAGTGTTACATCAATCGGCGCCCCTTCATATCTCAGTGTACACCTGTTCTCACCCTTTTTCTTGTTGGCATCACAAGATGCCGGTCACTTCTCTAACTTTGTCCCAGGTAGGAATGACCCACCTATCACGAAGCCGGGATATGTGCTCCTAGTGCTCAATCAGTGTGGTGAGTTCCAGTGGAGATGCGATGCAATGCCGTCAATGCTCCATTCACTACAAATTGACATGGTGATCATTTTCGGAGGCCATGTGTGTTGTGAAGCTCAAAATCGATAGCAGCAGAATTGAGATCACGATCAAGAAGTTGCACGACGTCTTAAAGGGTGCTAGTGACTCCGGTAGAGCACAAACTTCATTGGTAGAACACTTGTTCCCTGTATATACATGATTTTATTCGCAGCGCATCATACAGCTTTTTAATGAATGTCCGAGCGTTTTGAGGGCCGAATCAGCTATTTTTGGAAGGTCCGACGCGCCAGAGGGCCCAATTGGGATACCAGAGCTCAAATTTTGAGGGCCAAATTAGAGAATCTCGGATCGGACCTCTGTCGGTGTATGCCGGGGTCCTCCCTAAGTTCCCAGAGTTCTATTGGTTGCCAACGATGTTCATTCTTTTCAACGCGGTATCATTGCCATGATACGAGATATCGCCGAGACCAGTATTGTTGCTTTTGATTGATGTGCCTTTACATATCACGGATTGTCGATAGGTGGCACTTGATCTGGATTGATGTGGTTGCGGTGGTGGTAATTCAATTCTTTAAATTGATTAAGTAAGATCAGCAAGGTCTTCCAATTCAAATTTTTGAATTAAAATCATTGCAATTCAGCCTGGCCTGCCCCGTCACATAAACGCTTAATTATAACTGAAGTATAATCTAACTCCAAGTTCCACACCAGAGCGAGGTGGTAGATTTACATCCCAAAGATGGTATATGCAATTTAGTCCATATCCGGGCTGACACCGGAGACGGACCGGAGATGTCAATCTCCGATCAAAAACTTGGCATCACATCAGGCAGGTTATGTAACACTGGTCACCAGTGTGATGTGGCAGGACCCGCTACTCTTTCGCATTCTGGGATTGGTACCGATCAGGTAAAGAATAGTAGGGGACCTCTGTATCACGCGGGAATACCAGCCTCTGTTGGAGCAGACAATGCCGTCGGCATTGAGCCTTGATTTGGTCCACAAGTGGAGGATTCGTCAAGAATGGTGAACCCTTTTTCCTCTCGCACGTCGTGCACTCCTAACGAAGTTTTCGTCCGGTGTCTCTACACTACCTTGCTCTTCTTGTGTAAGCGTTGTCCACCATTCCGGCCCCAAAATCCCATTGCTACCTACTCAACCCTGCCATTGTCCACTCGAATATAGCATTCGCAGGGAGACAAGGAACATAAGGGTTTATCGAATCCGCATAGCTTACCGTGATCGTGTTCTACCGCAAAGGAGGTAATCTTGGCCGTCGTATTTTTCGCATCTTGTCGCCGGCTGTCACTCCGTAAGCATCATCGCAACGTTTTTGAGAATACCCATCGTTATGCTGGGTGGATCTTCCTCGGGATCTTTTGGATTCTCGCCGGCCTTGAAGGACACTGAAACCCATCGATTCATAGCCCGCCACCTGCATCGTAAGCCGGACATTTATCTTTCCCTGAGCCTATGAACTTGGGCCTTGGTCCATCTATCGCAAGGCTCCGGTTAGTGCGTGATTCGTTCCCAACGTCGTCATCTTGCTTCGCTTCAAAGCGGATGCCACTAGGATTGTTTGATCTTTCACTCATGACATCATGACATCATTCTTCTGAAGTAGGCTGCACTACGTCGTGACACTCTCTCCGTCTTCATTCAACGCGATCCCGAGAGTACCAAGTGGCACATGCTCTGGATATTTACAGTGTCGTGGCATAACTCAAGGCTCTGGTGCTTATACTGCTTCTTGCAGCGACGTTGAACCCACGTACGGTACGGCGGTCCATCCCGTTCTTCGTCAGGCGTTCAAGAACGAACCCGAGAATTATTGTGACCGAATCTACGTCAAGGGTAGGCTAGACCTTTTCGAGTCCGTCGTTCGCAAAAACAACCTTGAAGTTGTCTTGATCGCTTCCAATCCAGAGGATACTGTTAATACCATGCGTGGTTCAAGCAATGCCACCCTTGTTCGTCTCAATTGTTTCCACTATATCATTCCCCTCTCCCAAAAAATCACAAAGACACGCACCGGTATGCTTTTGACCTCAGATTCCTTTCACGCTCCCTGAATTCTGGTCTTCATTGCTCTCAACGAGGGACTTCACCTTGGTAGTCTTCTCACTCACAGGGCTCTTGGCCTTGTCAATGTTCTCTTGTGAATACCCTGCCCATTGCAACCAGAATTGAAACCGTAACTGCGCCCAAAAACTTACCACCGCTAAAAATGCGTCTAACCTGCTCCGCTGTGTCTTGAAAAACCCCTCTCGCCTTCTCTTGTGCTCCATTTACTCCCCTTTCGATGAATGGCTCAAGGAAGTCTCCTCCAGCTTTCGATGCAAGTGCAGAAAGTTGGTCACCTCGCTTTTGGAAGATGCGAAGTACTTTGTGAGCTGTAGTCACGTCAAGTGGTGCACCCTGAGAAACACAACTCAGCCGGCAACGCCAATAGAGAAAGGTCAATGTGACGAACCTTTAGAAGTTTCCTCATTTCTTCTGCAGCCTCGAGGACAATGTTGTTGGCCTCGTCCCTGTATAGCTCACTCACCTCCTCGAGTGAATCGAACGCAATATTAATGATGTATCCTGCACCAGGTACGATTGCCACATAAGCTTTAGCTACGCTGCGAAGGTGACTAAGTGCGGCGTCTTTAGTTTTGTCATGAGAGGGTGATATGAAGAAATCTAGGACAGGTTCGAGGAAGTCATGGATGGACGTGGCGGATTGAACGGTTGATTTTAGCACAGAGAAGTGACAATACGCATAACCAGATCACATTTACACGCTATGAATGTCAGTGCTGGGTATGAAGAGGCAGCGAGAACGTTCGCATACCTCCAATAAGAACGACACCTGAGCATCCGCCGCTGGAGCACGAGTCTTAGCAGGGGGAAAGAGGCTGTCGTTCGAGAAACGATGACCTAGCCAAGTGGACTCACCTGAGGCTCCGAGGTCTTCAGAATCAGCTCCCTCGTGGGAGGAAGATAGCTTGGCCGCAAGTAGAAGATGACCCTCGAGCGTGCCAAGTGGTCCAGGAGCAGGACTCGTATCCCAACGGTCAGGAGCGGGCAAGGCTGGATTGATTGGGTTGGCAAAGATTTTGGCAATGAACAAGGCAAGGATGAAGGCAGGGAAAATCAGCCTAACCATTCTCAGCATTGTTGATCATGTAGGTACGCTGGGTCCTAAAAGAAAAGAGGTGCTCTTTTTTGGGCACCTTCCAACACGCTCGTTTAAGTGGTTGTGCAGCAGCATACACCCTCATTTGGGCAGGAGGTAATTATTGGTCTGTGGGGATTTGACATGATTAATCCACAGATCCGCAACGGTAATCAGCCGAATTGGGGTTACAGGATAGGCAGGTTACTATGGAAGAAACCCGGCCTCAAAAACTGAAGCCAAAAGCCCCCTGAAAGCGACTCATACAAGGCTACTAAGCCAAATTCACATAGTGGGAAGTAAATCGCGGTGCTTACTCTCTTTCGTTTTTCATCCATTTTCTTAGGTCCTTTGGTAATGATTACATACCTTGCCCGGCTCCTATCCGCAATTTTTTTTGAGTGTGCATTTCATCTCACAATCTCAAACTTACAAAAAGCTAACCATTGGCACGTGAATAACTGTGGGTAAAGCACGATGTTAATTATAGACGAGAAAGTGGACCAATGTGACATGTCTCACGCTGAACCGAGCAAGAATTTGTAGAACATAGTTGCTTCAGGTGCCTTTCTCCTACGCATTCTCAGGGAGTCCGCCGTTAAAGGAAATCCAGCAAAAGAGGCAGGCACAGAAAGGGATAAATTTGTGTACTGAATTCCGTAGGCAGGACTCCAGCCTCTAACTCGTCGACCAAACCACAACGATCTTCAGGGGAAGCCTGGAAAAGGCCTCGAATCTCCTCCCCGAGTCCTTTTCGTTTCGTCAGAAGCTCTCTCGATCTCAACCCTCCTCCAACACTAAACATCGTAGCGGACCCTGTCCCTGGTCTTCCGAAATGAGAGCCAGCGACCGTGGAAAAGTCCGTCACTGATGCTGTTTGGAAATGTCACCCAAAAGCCCAAAGATTTCCTCGATGGTTGACATACGAGGAACTGCTGTGCCATATTCTGGGGCAACATGTTTACACGGAAATTACTCGCCCTCCACACTAACGCAATGATAACATTAGGGCATCAGGCGGTAGAGCTAATGCTCGTCCTACATTTCTCCTCCAGTGACAATCGTGTGATCGAATATGTTCGGCCATGGATATTCGTCAGCCAGTGCCCTGTCCCTGAATCATCGAGGCCAAGTCAATGTCGTCACGCCGAGCGAATTTCACTCCCAGCGCCACCAGCAACGCCGGAAGTGATCTGTCCACCGATGCCGTGGCCCGAAGGGTTGAAGGCTCGTGCAGTGACCTGTGGGATGCCCGCCGACAGAAAAGCTGGACGCAAGGTCCTCTGTTCATTGAGGACTTGGAGGCTTCAGAAAGAAATTCCCCCTCAGTTGAGCTACCGGAAAGAGGGGGAAACCACTCACTCGTCACGGCGGAGCGAACTTTCGAGTTCACTTAGCCCTGCATCCACGAGTGTAGATGCCGCGCCTCCAGTGAGACCAGAAGCGATCTGACCACCACAGCCGCGTGCTCCGAGAGCGCGCTCGTTCAGTGCCGCGAGACTATGGAAGAACTTGTTGCTTCGAAACCATGAGCACTCACTCGACTCACGGTGGAACAAACTTTTCGATCTCATTGAGCCCTGCACCCGCGAGGGCAGATGTCGCACTTCTAGCGAGACCAGAAGCGACCAGACCACCAATCCCACGTCCTCCGAAAGGACGCTCGTCGAGTGCTGCGAGCCTCAGCTTGTGAATGATGGGACACAGTTCAACTTGCGGCATTGAAGTGATGTGATTATGCGCTCACTCGTCCCGGACGGGCGGTGTCGAAGACGTAGATGACACAATGGCTATACTGTAGCAAGAAATCTTTTGGTGGCTATATTCTACAAGTGATTGGGAAACTAAGAAATGGAGCGACTCGTGAACCAAGAAATATAGGAGAGCCACTGTTCGTCGGATTGGAACGTCTGAAGAGGGTGGATCAATAACAAAAGGAGCTTGGAAAAGCAGCACAGGAGACGGGGGCAAAATATTTTACCACCGAAACTCCGTAGATAGAATCTCTTTTTGCAGCTCACGGATCTCATTATCGTGGCCAAGAAACCAATTCCTACTCACTGTCTCATCGACAGGCGCGCTGCGCTGCTCGATGTGCCAGGAAAGATGCACTGTGCGACCAAAGTCAACCATGCGGAACGAAGGGTCCTTCAGACTGCGACTCCGTGGCGGGAGCGTAAGCGGACCAGGTTGGGTGACAATATTACGAATGTGAGCAGAATGGTGCGTATAATTTGCAAGATGTATTTGATATAGAAGGGACAAGCATTGGTCCCTATTGGTTACTTGTCAAGATAATTCGTAACTCCGATCACTGAGATTATAGACTTACCGATCATCTTCAGACATTTCCCGTGAATCGATCTGTTCTCCGCAGTGCTCCATCAAGAGAATAGGGCTCAGTCCTTCGATGAATGCCTTCATGCTTTTCTTAGATTCTTCATCCAGATCCTTCTCATCTTCAGCATAGTACTCTGCGTCGTAGATGGGCTTGTAGTAACCATAGAATTTCGGGACCACGGGACCGACAGGAACGGGGTTTTTGAATTTGGGTGAGAGGAGATTATAACCATTCCACTCTTCGAACATGTAGCTAGGAAACGAAGCGTACACTCTCGCTTCATTCTCAAGAAGTTCTCGCGCTCTACGGGACCTGTCATGCGCCATTTTGCAAGCAACGGAAACTTCTCCAGTGGGAGTCCGAGCAGAAAGTGGACGGGGTAATCTGAGCGGAACGAGATAGACGTCAGAATGGTTCCCCTTTCCCAGCTTATAGCTTAAAGAGAGGCGTAGCTCCGCCGTGCGCAATGTTTGCGCCAAGGAAGAGGATCGTTGCTTGGGATCGTCTGCGGGAGAGGGCAGAACTCGACTGAATTTGACTGGCTTGTCAAGTATAGAGGAGTACTCATCAGCGACAGGCGCACGATGTGATGAGTGGTAACGAATGATGCCTCCAGCGGCATCTTTCACAATTAGTATATCGGGAAAGAACTCTAGTGGGATTTCTTCCTCCAGGGAAGGCGGCATATTGAGAGGTTTGGTTTGCAACGGACTCCCGGACCCTTCACTGGTGACTGCTGAATCTGCGTTGTTCCCTTTGCTCATTTCATCTGTGACGGCTTGGACATTGTTCGCAGGATCAGCAAGATACACCCCATCAAATTCGACGTCAGATTGAATTGTTCCATTCTTCTCAATTGCGAGTGTGTTTTCTGGTGAGTCAGATTCTGGGAGACCCTTCAGCAGCGGGTCAGGTGCATCCACTGGGGGGGTGACTACAGGAGTATCACCGAATTTCGGATCGTTATTTCCCACTTTCGGGTCTGTGGAAGGGAGAGACATTCCAGTTGATGTGAAACTTGGCAAAAGATGGAGAAGACGTCGAACAGACCTAGGTCATCCAAATCCAATCTATTTCCCTTCGCATCCGCAAACCAAAATGCATTCTTATCAAACTTGGTAGAGATAAGTCTAGTAGTGTCCTCCCCAGGAAGGTCTTTCCTATCGCAAGTCTTACATTGCGAGCTTGTCACATCCTCATCAGGAATTTGAAGGATGTCAGCCCCAGGTGCCCCTAGTACTCCTAGGAGCGAACTATCCTGCAGGCACGCGTCCCGGTAATCTTGATCTGGGACAACGGCTTCTAGACCTGAACCAAAAAAAGGTGTAAATCAGTGAACGGTCTTCGATTGGAGGCGAATTTATCTACGTAAGAGGGCTGCGCTGAATACACACGGCATATTAGGATCAGCGAACCATGCTGTCGACTTTCCTTTTCTGTCCTCGATGAACTTCGGTTTGTGTGTATCATAGCGGACGACATAGATAACTGGAGGGGGATTAACGGTGCACTCGGAACAATGGAGCGTTCCGTCGTCGAAACACGTAGGGCAGTTCAGTTTGGCGAGGAAATAAGCTTCACTGACATCCCTGAAAACAATAAGCTTTGACCCATCATGTATAGAAACCTTCCTCTTGCTTAATGCCTCCCGAATGAGTTCTCTTCGACCTGGCGGCCAGTCTTTGTTAAATCCTTTTTCAACTTGGTAATGAAACGGATGTGAATGTGAGCCCCAATCAACATCGACACATACGTACGAAGTTTCATAAACGCATCTCTGTTGGAGAGTGACTTGGTTTTCTCCTCGCTATCGGAGTCAACGTCGATAAGGACCGTATGACAGTCGAATTCGTCACCGTCAGAGTCATAGTCCGATCCCGGATCGACGATTCCAAAACCGTATTTCTTACCCTCCGCCTTCATTCGCTTAGGGAGTTTTAACAGTGGCCAAGGTTTTCTTTTCCTAGGAGGAGGCTCCCTCTTGTTCCACACTCTATCGTCGTAGTTCTCTCCAAATTCCCGTATCATACTTCGTGACCAGATTGTCATGACATTCATGTCCACAATACGAGCAATCCAAAAAAAGTCGTCGAGGCTATGGGCCCATATTTGACGGTTAGGCGTTCGTTGGCCATGAGGAGGACTCCTCTTATCCAGAAACGGACCATTTGGATTGCGAAGCCATTGATGTCGAACTCTGCGTCTGGATTCTGACATCGAGGATATGACCTGTCTAAGGCTAAAAATGAAGGGTGGACTATACGAGACAAAGAAATGACAAATCACCAAGTTTTGTGGTCGGCAGTGAAAAACTGGTTCAGTGGGCTGACCGGAATCAAAAAAAGAGGCGGATATTATAAGTACTAAATCCCAGGATATAAGTAAAAGGAACCAGAATTCAAGATCAAACTCTTCTAATCAATCGCCATTAGGAGGTGCAATTAGAAGCATGCTCTAATCGTTAGATAACCGTGTCTAGCAACTTAAAGGAGGCGGCGTCTTGCCTGCCGCACGTGCACTAATATAATGTCCATTATTTGTAAGGACAAAGACACACACACAACGCCTCGAAGGCGCTGACCGACGAGCTGAAGGAAGTAACTAGGGGGGCATGACAAAGGAACAGTGATGATGACGTCGGACAGCGGAGGGGTGCTACTCCTTCAACACCAATTTAGCGACCACACTCACTGCTGGTTTCGATCGGATTGCCTGTCTGTATCCATTAATCTAGTGCCCGTGACTTCGATGCTCATATTTTGGGTAGGCTCGGTGGGTAGACTCGGAAGTTGACTGAAAGACTATATGAGGGATTGAGTGGGTCGCGGTCAAAGGAGGAAAGCAGCAGAGCTTTTACCGGTTCTGGGATAGTATTTCACGTCGCAGGTTCCGGATCTCTCCGTATTGCACATCATGCCAATTACAGATATCCCCCTCCCCAGGTTTCACAATGCCATGCTGCTCGAGATAGCGAGAGAAATCGATCGTGCGACCAAAATCAACCAGGCGGAACGAAGGGTCTTTCAAACTGCGATGCTCTGGCGGGAGAGTGAGTGGTCCAGGTTGGACTACAATGTTACGAATATGAGCAGAGTTGTGTAAATAATCCTCAAGATGCAGTCTGTGTGGAAGGGACAAGCATTGGTCCCTTCGGACTGCTCGTCAGCGTCGCTCTTCACTCAATGGATGAGGTAGAGATTCACCGATCATCCTCAGGCATCTCCTTTGGATGGATCTGCTCTCCACAGTTCTCCATCAAGAGAATGGGGCTCAGCCCTTTGATGAACGCTTTCATGCTTTTCCTGGATTCTTCATCAAGATCCTTCTCTTCCTCGGCATAGTACTCTGGGTCGTAAATGGCCTTGTAGTAACCGTAGAATTTCGGAGCCACGGGACCAACAGGCACAGGATTCCTGAGTTCAGGCGTAAGGAGATTATATCCATTCCACTCTTCGAACATGTGGCTAGGGAGCGAAGCGTATACCCTCGCTTCATTCTCAAGAAGCTTCCGTGCTTCAGAAGACCTGTCATGCGCCAGTTTGCAAGCAACAGAAACTTCTCCAGTGGGAGTGCGAGCAGAAAGTGGATGGGGTAATCTGAGCGGAACGAGATAGACGTCAGAATGGTTCCCCTTTCCCAGATTATAGCTTAAAGAGAGGCGTAGCTCCGCCGTGCGCAATGTTTGCGCCAAGGAAGAGGATCGTTTCTTGGGATCGGCTGTCGGGGAGGGCAGAACTCGTCTGAATTTGACTGGCTTATCAAGTATAGAAGAGTACTCATCAGCGACAGGCGCACGATGTGACGAGTGGTAACGAATGATGCCTCCAGCGGCATCTTTCACAATTAGTATATCGGGGAAGAACTCTAGTGGGATTTCTTCCTCCAGGGAAGGTGGCATATTAGGAGGTTTGGTTTGCAACAGACTCCCAGGCGCGTCACTGCTGGCTGCTGAATCTGCGTTGTTCTCTTCGTTCTTTCCATCTGTGGCAGCTGGGACATTGTCTGCAAGATCGGCAAGGTGCACCCCGTCAAGTAGCTCAGGTGCATCCACTGGGGGCCTGACTACAGGAGTATCACCAAATTTCGGATCGTCACTTCTCGCTTTCGGGTCTGTGGAAGGAAGAGACGTTCCAGTTGATGCCAGAGTCATCCCATTACAAATCTTACATTGCGAATTTGTCACATACTCGTCAGGAATATGAAGAATTTTGGTCCCGAATATTACTCCAAGCGAATCTAAACCCTCCTGCAAAGAATTTTGATCTGAGACAACGACCCCTATACCTGAACAAAAACGGTGTAGGTCAGTGAGAACGATCTTCATTTGGAGGCGAATTTTATCTACGTATGAGGGATTCGCTGAATATGCACGGCATATTAGGATCAGCAAACCATGTCGTCGACTTTCCTTTTCTGTCTTCGATGAACTTCGGTCTCCGTGTATTGTAGCGGACAACATAGATAACTGGAGGGGGGTTAACAGTGCACTCGGAACAGAGGGTGAGTCCGACGTCGGAACATGTAGAGCAGTTCAATTTAGCAAGGAAATAAGCTTCACTGACGTCCTTGAAAACAATAAGCTTTGGCCCATCATGTACAGAAATCTTCCGCTTGCTTAAAGCCTCGTGAACGAGTTCTCTTCGACCCGGTGGCCAGTCCTTGCCAAATCCCTTCTCAACTTGGTAATGAAATCGGTATGAATGGGAACCCCGATCAATATCGATACATGGACGTACGAAGTTTCTGAAAGGCATCTCTGTTAGAAAGTAACCGAGTTTTCTCGTCGTTGTCGGAGTCAACATCGATAAGGACCGTATGGCACTTGAACTCATCGTCACTGTCGACATCTGATCCCGGATCGACGACTCCGAAACCATATTTCCTACTCTCTGCCTTCATTCTTTTAGGAAGTTTAAGAAGGGGCCAAGGTTTCCTTTTTCTCGGAGGAGGCTCCCTCTTGTTCTCGTTATCATCGTAGTTCTCTCCGAGTTCCCGTATCATGCTTCGCGACCAGATTGTCATGAGAGGCACCACTGGATCACGAGAAATCCAAAAAAAGTCATCGAGGCTATGGCCCCAGATATGACGGTTAAGCGGTCGATAGCCACGGGGAGACTTGTCCTTATACAGAAATGAGCCATTCGGAGGGCGAACCCATTTCCATTCGACCTGGCGCTTGGATTCCAGCTCTGGCATTCGAGAGAGTGATCTATTCGAACGCTAGAGTGAACCGCTAAGGTAGTAGTGCACGAGTTTGGCAGCAGACCAAGAATGGCAGCAACCTCAACAACGTGAGTAATCGCAATGCTCGATATCTGGACTTCAAAAATGACCTCCCCAGGCTAAGCGCGGAAGGACAGAACTACTGTATGAGAGATAGGGGAATACCAGATGGGCTAAATTTGATGGTTGGCCAGTTTTATATGTAATACAGAGTAGCGGGAATTCCCGCTACTCTGCAGTCTTGCAAATTTAGGTGCACAGGGTCCCATTATGACAATATAATTCACTCCCTTATAACTCCGTTAGCTCACACCCCATAAGTACGACTTCTGCATGAAGAATGTACTGAAGACAGTAGGGGAAGAGTGTTCGTAACGCAAAGAGCGAAGACACGATGTCATATCCATAAATCCAAAACCAAACGTCGAAAGGCAGTTGTGCGGAGAGTGGCGTCCACCAGTTATTTCCCGTAGCGGGTCCTACAAATTTTTCGCCCGAGACTGAATTCGTTTTCTGGCAAGGTCCTCCATTATTGCAAATTCTCAATAACCCAAGGTCCTCTAATCATTATTCTCATCCCACTTCGTCCATTCTTTCTACTCTCGATCGTTACCCTTCCTCACTCCCACAATATTGCTTTCCATTCCACCGATGGTGACGGTCAGCAATCGTTCCAAACTGGCAGAGGTGGCTGTCTTCGGTATTGTCATGAAAGCACAAATGTCAGACTGCAGCAACCAGAAATGTGAAAGGAACATTGTGTACGTGTTTGTCGTTCAACTGTCACTGTCACTAAGTCCTCGTCCTCACCGTAAGTCAAGTCATTGGAACGGCCTATTTCCTTCGTCAGATGGAAGATCTAACACCATTCCTCAGTTCTCGCGCATGAAACACGGTCCTGCTGTGTGCATCGGAAACAAGCGTTTCGCCTCGTGCCTAAGAGGTCCATTCTTTTCCATCTGCTAATATGGATGGCACACTCTGCCGCGTCAGGCGGCGCCCACCAGTTATTCGTGTTCGATCATGTGTACAGCGAATGTGTATATGTAGCTGTGCAACCGTGCACAACCAAGCGCTGATAATAAAGAATTTACTGAAATTATCTGGGACTAAACGAGCGCGTGCCCCATTGAATCGACACAACCATGCACTTTGGGAACCCTACAGAGTATAAAGTAGACTGTGATGAATAAGCTCCCGGTTTTAGATCAATACAAGGGAAGAGAAGTTGGGTGTTGATGGCACATATGATCTTTTAATTTTTTGCTTACGCGCGCTGCGTTGGATTATTGGTACTAAAATATAATAACGGACAGCGCTCCGGCAGAACTTTCCAATATAACCTTGTTTGGTTTGATGACAAGTGCTCGTCACCTTCAGGCTCAAGCTCTGCAAATTCTTCCACATTCGTGGCGCGATCGCCATACAGGAAATCTTGAGATGCTAGGCAGTCATATTTTACAAGGTGGGATGGCCCGAAACCCTACGAGACTAAGGAATTGAGTGGGTCGTGAACCAAGAAAAGCAGCAGAGCCGGTGACTTTTGAACCTTCATCGGATTGGGGCGTCGGCAAGGGTTGGCTAATGTGGCAAGACGAGCCTGGAAAAGCAAGCTAACAAGAGGGAGAAGCCCCCCATCTTTACAACCACGAGTACCGGGACCGAATCTCATGTCCCAGATTCCGGAGCTCGTTGAGTTGCGGATTGTACCAACGGTCATAGTAAACTCCCCAATGCTTACGCTGCTCGACATCGTGGACGAAATCTACCGTGCGACCAAAGTCAATCATGCGGAATGAAGGGTCCTTCAGACTACGACGGTGTGGCGGGAGTGTAAGCGGTCCAGGTTGAACTACAATGTTACGAATGTGAGCAGAATTGTGTCTATAACCCACGAGATGCAGACGGTATAGAAGGGACATGCATTCGTCCCTTTAGTGACTTGTTAACATAATTGCTCTTGACTTCGGTGAATGAAATAGAGATTTACCGATCATCTTCAGGCATCTCTGTGGGATTGATCTGCTCTCCACAGTGTTCCATCAAGAGAATGGGGCTTAATCCTTCGATGAATGCTTTCAGGCTTTCCTTGGACTCTTCATCCAGATCCTCCTCATCTTCAGCATAGTACTCTGGGTCGTAGACTGCCTTGTAATAACCATAGAATTTCGGGACAACGGGGCCGACAGGGACGGTTCGATGCCTGAAATAGGGACTGAGGAGATTATATCCATTCCATTCTTCAAACATGTGGCTAGGGAGCGAAGCATATATTCTCGCTTCATTCTCGAGAAGTTCCCGTGCCTCATAAGACCTGTCATGCGCCATTTTGCAAGCAACGGAAACTTCCCCAGTGGGAGTCCGAGCAGAAAGTGGACGGGGTAATCTGAGTGGAACGAGATAGACATCAGAATGGTTCCCCCTTCCTAGCCTATAAGTTAAAGAGAGGCACAGCTCTGCCACACGCAAGGGTTGCGCCGAGGAAGACGATTGTTGCTTAGGATCGTCTGCGGTCCGGGGAGAGGGCAGAACTCGTCTGAACTTGACTGGCTTGTCAAGTATAGAAGAGTGCTCGTCGGCAACGGGCGTACGATGCGACGAGTGGTAACGAATGATGCCTCCAGCCGCATCTTTCACAATTAGTATATCGGGAAAGAATTCTAGTGGAATTTCTTCCTCCAGGCAAGGTGGCATATTAGGGGGTTTGGTTGGCAACGGACTTCCGGGCCCCTCACTGGTGGCTGCTGAATCTGCGTTGTCCTTCTCGCTCTTTTTATCTGTGGCGGCTGTGACATTGTCTGCACGATCAGCAAGGCGCTCCCCGTCAAATTTGACGCCAGCTTGAATTGCTCCGCTCTTCTCAATTGCGAGCGTGTTTTCTGATAGGACAGATTCTGGAAGACCTTTGAGCAGCGGATCAGGGGCATCCACCAGTAGAGGAGAAGCACCAAATTTCGGATCGTCACCTCCCACTTTCGGGTCTGTGGAAGGAAGAGACATCCCAGTTGATGTGAAACTTGGCTAAAGATGGAGAAGACGTCGAACAGACCTAGGTCATCCGATCCTCTTACCCTATTTTCGCTCGCATCCGCAAACCAAGACTTCCCATTTCCATCGGACTTGGTAGAGATAGGTTTAGTAGTGTCCTCCCCACACCCTTCACAGTCAGGAAGGTCTTTCCCGCAAGTCTTACATTTCGAACCTGTCACATTCTCGCCAGGAATACGAAGAATTGTGGTCCCAAGTACTCCTATGAGCGAACCATCCTGCACGCACGCGTCCCGGTAATTTCGATCTGGGGCAATGGCCCCTAAACCTGAACCCAAAAAGGGTGTAAATCAGTGAACAGTCTCCAATGGATTTACCTACCTGAGATGGCTGCGCTGAATATACATGGCATATTAGGATCAGCGAACCATGCCGTCGATTTCCCTTTTCTATCTTCAATGAACTTCGGTTTTCCTATATTGTAGCGCACAACATAGATAACTGGAGGGGGATTAACAGTGCACTCGGGACAGAGGAGCGGTCCGAAGTGAAAACATGTCGGACAGTCCAATTTGGCGAAAAAATATGCTTCACTGATGTCCTTGAAAACAATAAGCTTTGGCCCATCGTGTATAGAAATCTTCCCCTTGCGTAAAGCCTCGTGAACAAGTTCTTTTCGACCCGGCGGCCAGTCCTTGTTAAATCCCTTTTTAACTTCGTAATGAAATCATTATGAATGTGAGCCCGGATCAGCATCGATACATAGACATACGAAGTTTCTTAAATTCAACTCTGTTGGAGAGCAACCTAGCTTTCTCCTCGTTGTCCGAGTCAACGTCGATAAGGACCGTTTGGCACTTGAACCCATCATCGTCACTATCGCCGGAGTCCGATCCTGGATCAACGACTCCAAAACCGTATTTCCTACTCTCTGCCTTCATTCTTTTAGGAAGTTTAAGAAGGGGCCAAGGTTTCCTTTTTCTCGGAGGAGGCTCCCTCTTGTGCTCGTTATCATCGTAGCACTCTCCGAATTCCCGTATCATACTTCGCGACCAGATTGTCAAGACGTCCACTCCCGGAGCGCGAGGAAACCAAAAAAGATCATCGAGGCTATGGCCCCAGATTTGGCCGTTGGGCGTTCGTTGGCCATCGGGAGGAGTGAACACCGTCTTATCTAGAAATGGGCCATCTGGAGGGCGATCCCATGACCATGTGACCGTGCGTTTGGATTCTGACATTGGAGAAGGTGACCTCTCCACTCGATCGACTCTCCGAAGCTGACGTTGTCCATGAAGCGGAAACCGAGGGTGGGTGAACATAGCCAATTCCAATTCTCCGCCATTCAATCAACCCAATACAGATTTCAATACAAATAATCACTGCGTTTAGGGGAAGATTATCCACGGTCGGATAGTACAGAAATATTACTAATATCCTCTGGTGTATCGCACACTTGATGATTGCAGAGCAAGCGCAGAATATTTCAGAAACTCCCACACACTTTGACAGAGGATAGCACAGTGATTGCACTGACCGGATTTAGCGGGGCAACGACCAGGTCTGGTAGTAAACGTGACTGAATATTTCATGGGATATTACAGACTCGGAATAAGAGCCCGAAACTGGGGCTTTTGGATCCGAACCGGATACAATTAGTATTAATATATTGGTATTAATTATTATTCGCGCGCCAGCTGCTTGCCCCTTTGCGCTTTCCTCATTGGATGTACAGAAGAACGGAGTGATGAACACGCCAAACAGTACTAGTACTACTAGTACCAGTCCTGAAGGAAACGACCTCAATGCCCCATCCACCTCGCCCTCCCCAATGAGCAGAACCAACTCCGCCCCTCAGCTGGACCTGTACGGACATGCAACCAGTACCGGGACATCTGGCACATATGCCCCCCTGGGCCCCCACGCTGCATTTTCCCCATCCCCATCGTCCATTCCATGGTCAGGATCAAGCCATTATGGACTAAACATGAGTGGGTGTTAACAGATGAATAATAGGGCAGAAAAGACCGCTAAAAATCTTTACCAAACACGTTTTAGGTATCCCAAGTGCTGCTCCGACTCTTGCAAATTATCATCAAAACAGTAGAGGACCTCCCTACAGCCAGAATCCTCCTGGTAAGTTGCCTGAAACCACTGAGAAACCAGCACTTACGTGATATGCTTCAGGTATGCCGACCCCCGCTATAATGCAACAGTATTCCATGAGCCAAAGTTTTGCGAGTCCTGGCACTCACTTCCAGGATGCAAGTCCGGTTAATAACCTTGCGCCATATGGACCCCCACCCACTCAGGAAGCTTTCGAAAAGTTGATAAATGATTTCGTCCAAAAGCAGGTAGACGAAAAAATGATAACTATGGCGCAACAATTAGAACAGTTATCGCAACAAGTGAACGAAAATACCACCAGCGCCACCACAAACAGTCATACTGAGCCAAGCAGCAGGAGAGGCCAGGCAAAGGACAAGTGGCCGGCGAACGGACGGGTGAGTCGCATATACCAGCTGAGGGGCCCAACTGATCCAGCGTTGGGTTCCAGGACCCAGTGCAAAAGGCACTACGTGACGTGATTGGCTGCAATATACGAAAGCCAAATGCTGAAGATCTTCCTTCACCTTTGCCAGAGGGTGCTCCCACACCATGCAGAGAAAATGGGGACCCCCTCCTGATCCCGAACTGGCAGTTGGGAGTTAAGGAAAAAATCAATCAATGAGTGATCAGCGAAACAGTTAGGTTCAGTATGAATGATTCAGTGCGTGAAAGTGACCCATACCCTTGCACAACTCCTGACACCCAGCACAGATGATAAAGGCCTACATTGATGAACGAAGGATTGATCAGAGTGATGTTCATAATGCAGCTGAGCAGTACTTCAATTCCCTCAAATTGAAGTGGAAAAGATCACAGACGGAAGCCGGTCGTCAAAGTCTGGCAAACTCGCGACAAAGAAACACGACTATGGCACGATTGAAAGCAGTATGCCGATCCTTGCCTGATGACTGGCAATATTAATGTTAATCAAGTTTGTCTCCAGAAAGCCGCCAGGAGACGTGAAGGCATAGGAGGGTTAGTGGGTAAAGTCAAAGCCACGGAGGACGAGATGGAGTCGGTTATACTTACTGACCATATGTCTTCCGACAACGACACGGAAGTCGAGACCCCAACCACCGAAGGCCTGAGGCATGAAAAAATCCTGGTCCGCAGACAAAACCTGTGGAGAAGCGCCAAGGTGAGTCATAACCCAAAACTTTGAAACTTACCAGGACACTAACTTATATACTAAGTTTGTGAAATTCCTTTATGCCTCGGATAAAAGTCGCAGGTTAGAGATGGAAGCGAGGGCATGCCTGAAGCGCAAGAGAATGCATGCCCAAAACACCCACAAACCTGCAAAACATGCAAATTACGATGGCAACACATTTTCACAGCGACTCCCAAGGCTGCCAATCCCAAGATCCCTAACGAGCCCGGTAATCAAGGCGGAAGTGGAGGAGAAGATGAGAATCACTGAAACCTTACCCTGGTGGGATGCTATGGATGTCGCGGATACGTTAGTGGATGGGCCAGATCTGGAAATCGTTCGACAACTTGAAGAGCAAGAACACCAGTCTGCTCCCGGTACTAGTGCTAGTACTACTACCGTTAGTTAAGTACACGCGCAACAAAACCGCTGTAAAATAACTCAAGCCTCAGCTATGTGCGGTGTGGGAATGCAAAAATAATGTGTCAGATGCTGGATAGTCAGAAGTGCGTGCCAGTGAGGTACATCGCATACAGGGCTGCTGCATGCCTCTGGGTTGAAAAGAGGTTGCTTGTTGCTTGGACAAAAGACTCTGGTGGCACAAACGGCGGGAGGTGGTCGAACATCGACATATTGAAGTGACAACATAAACAAACAACAACATATATTGGGCGACAAAATTTTGTTTTCCTCAGACTACATACTATTATGCTATATGCCTTCTCCATGCTAGAGGAAGTAAACATCATCAGCTATTCCGATCGTTAGAGCCCAAGTTTAGATATCGAACTTACGGGATCGATGGTGATGGTCACCCAGAGTTTGACGCCACCCACCTCTACCTCCAGTCGCGCGAGATGGCTGATTATGCAGTCTAAGGCGATGATGGTCAATGCTCCACCATTCCACCACATTCCGGCATGCCATTGTTTGATATGAGCATTCTTTTCGCTGTTAAACGGGTTTTGAGTGAGGTGAAACACAAACAAAGTCCCAACATACAATGGTGTCCAAACCGTTGGGTTCTGAGGCTGATATGGAGCGAACCATTTGACGTACCCAAAGGATACTCTTTTACCGCTGAGACCTAAGTCCTCGTCAAATGATAAAACTTGAGTGAGCTCCCCGCAATAACGCTGGCCTGCAAGTTCCACCTCAACCAGCGAGCTTCGAGGATTCTTTGCTGACTGTGACGCAAGGTATCTTCTCGAATGAACTACAACATAATGGTGATTCCAGCAATGGGTTGGCAGTGGAATACTATTCGGTTCGGGGCTTGGCGCAGTGTACTGATGCAGCTTCAGAGTGGAATTTCGACGTTTGAGATGATTGATTATCGAGAGAGATTCGGAAATGGTTAGTTCAACCTTTCTCTTTGGAGCAGGGCCCAACAAGACCATTTGTAGCGGTACTTCCTCTGATGTCTGGAGTGGGTCAAATGTGACAGGGCTGGCAGTCTAGCGAACCTTACCATCTATCCTCTTATCTTCAAGCTCCCTTGCTAACGCTTGCACAGTGCCTCGATCATCGCGGCTCGCATTCATCAATAACATCGCAGCTGAACTCTCAACCGCATTGGATGACCGGGATGCCTCGTTGAGCTGAAGGGATTTCATCAGCTTGGTTGTGACCAGCAAGGATATGTATATATCAGGACATACTATCTGTGACACCTGGTTTGCACGGTGAAACTCACGAAAGAAGGAGACCTCCAATTGTCCACATCCATGGTTATTGGACTTGTAACTTTTGAGGACTTTATTGAGACGCTCGAAGAGGAACGTCCAGAAACCGTATACAGGACCAAAGTCGCGGATGAACTCGGCTGTGTGAACGGCATAGTGATGATTGGGTTTAATCATATCAGGACCGAAAATCTATTGTATAAAGTGGGATCCAGTATTCCAATTTCACGGGTAATTACTTACCTCCAGAACGCCTTTGAGGTAACCCAGCATATATCTTTCGCCTTCAATTATCTGCGCCTCCGTAATTCTGCGAGACAACCAACACTTGAGAGCCATTGTGAGATTGGAAAAGTTCGCTGGCTCATCAGGATGTAGATTTGAGGGCAAATCGCCTGTAGCAACAGTAGAGGATTTCTTATTTGTGCGTCCACGCGATTTTCCCGACTTTGTAGAGGTTGCAGTTGTACGTGAGGCAACCTCATGTGATGAAGGCCCTTGGTGGGGTTGAGTATTGGCAGACTAATGTTGGAGTTTATACTAGTACTCCGTTCAAAAATTCAAGTTCATGACATACCAATGACTCTTGTGCCATTTCCTTCAGTAATTTAGCTTGCTCGCGTCTCTCCTTGGCATCCTTCTTCTCCTGAGCCTTCTTGGCAAGACGATTATTAATTGAATGCACACAGGCTTCTCGTGCACAATCTGCATCCTGTGATAGATGTGTGTCCCATATCAAAGGGACCTAGTTGAAAGATTAGCGGAGAGAGATCGCCAAGGGATATACTAGAAACACACTGTAACTGGTCCAAAAACCGTCGCCATGAGCAACCACTGATCAGCAGTCAGCGAGCCTCCTGCTGGCTCCCCAACAGCAGTTGGAAGTGTAGCCATGTGTCCTGGAACCGTGAACTGAGATACATCAGTACCTAACCCGAATCTGTGACACACTGAAAAGGATGGATCATACTTTTGAAAGCAGGGCGTGAAGTTGGATGAGCTCATGTTTAGGCCGGATGATATTTTGAGTGATCCACATATGATAGAAATGGTTTTTACTAAGACCTAGATTATATACCGTCAGTGTGAAGGTTGCACCATGGCTTTCTTGCATTGTACCAAGAATAAGGTTATGCATCGGATCGACTACTATCATCCTGCACAAGTCGAAATATGGGAGATGTGACAACTCTGACCACTGGTTAGAGTGTTGTGTGGCATGTTTCTCCTTCAAAGTTCTCGTTGGGAGATCTTGGTATATCTCTCCCATTCTGCGATGCTCTTCATTAGAACGATGCCGGAAACCTAAGACAACATTTCAGGTATAGAGATGGGACAGACGACATCACATACCTCCAACACGAAGAGCCTCTAACTCATTCTTTTGAGACAGCGTCACCCAGCAGCGAGTGCAGAACATAGTGTGGCTATGGGAGCCAAACCCTCCAAGCTTATGTGCCGCAGGTGCGTCACAAACAACACACAGCAGCACAGCACGGACACACCTGCCTTGAGGACACTTGCGGGTCTCAACCATAATTCATTTCTCCCACAGGTGGAGAAGATCGTTGATTAGTGGTCTCATGTACCGTTGGACCTGATTGGGGCTTGGTTCCTTGGGGCCGGGGATGATACCCACAAGGAAAAGATTGGATGTTTTATACCTGTTGGACCCTTAGAGATACATCCGAAGCGATTGAAATTGAGACTTACTTGACATGAGGGGGGAGATTCGCTACACATAGCGAAATTGGCCCTGATGAATGCGATGCAGACTGCTGAGATCGACGATACGAGAACCTAAGATGTTTGTTTTGGTCCAACTCAACCGTGATGAAAGGGGAATACTTGCCAGTCAGTACCAAGTGTGAGACCAATACGGAGCTCTCCATTAGGACCCATCTCATGATCTTCAGGTTCATTGCGAAAGAAAGGGGACCCATCATGGCCCAGAATTGAGTGGGCAACACGGCCATCGAAGATATCTTGATATATACCCAGCTCCGGATGCCGGTCAGGTAATGTACGCCACCGATCAAGGAGATCCTCCATCCCAGGTTCCTGCAATAACTCACGAAGCTGTTCGCTGACGGATTTGAAGGCAAAGCGGATTTTTGGCTCACGTCCCTTTGCGCTCCTCTCTTTCGTGTGTGTATTTTCATCATTTTCGAACAGGGGGATAGTCCTGTTGTTATGCTCGCATTTGGTACAAAGTGCCGGTGTAGTTTCAAGCTCGGGGTAGACTTCCTGGCATGCAGGACATATTGGGAGAACTTGAAAGGAAGGTTCAACAGACATGTGCGAGTGGACAGTCGTTAAGGTCGTGGCGGAGACTGTAGATGGATCCAGATGAAAGTTTGCAGCGCTGAGGATAAGTTGAACTATGGACAAAATGGCCCCTATGATTCGGAATGGGACATGGTGGTAGGAATGGAGCCAGATGGCCAAAAGGTAGAGAATTCGAATGGGTGCTAAATAATGAGTTGTGGAATAGGATGTCCGGGGCCATGTGTCAGCATGGGATGAGAAAGGGTCTGGGGAATTCTCATCCACACCACCCGACCAAGAGATAGAGTGGATCAAAGGTATGGGAGAAGGGACGGTAGAAGACCCAGCCTGAAGGGTGGCCTCGTCTAGAGGTGCAGATCCAGAATCGATGTCAACGCCACTGGAAGTAGACTCCTTGTCGCTGGGTGTTTGGAACCCATCGTCATCTTCGGCCGAGTCATCATTGCCAGGCTGTATGGCCTCGAATTCCAGAGATAAGTTATCGTTGTGGTCATTCACAAATCCGGGTAAGGGCGGCACCAGAAATACATCTGGCTCTGAATTGTTAGATTCAGGTTGCTGGGGAAATAAGCCACTTCCGAACTTGTTGAACATCATTTCGGTATCATCAGTATTTGAGCCAGAAGCTGACATCGGTGGGCCAGTTGTCATCGGTGAGTCAGCCGTCATCAGTGAGCCAGATGCAGACACTGTTAAGACATCCGAGTAGCGTTGATGGCTAATCTTTCGCCTTTCAGCATTCAGATGGTCATTCCACGTCTTGACGTGGAGCACCTTGCCCTCGATCCCACATCTGCTGCAGTGACACCGCTAAAGTTTTGAAACTTACATATATCAGATTCTTCAGCACAAAATAGCCAGCTACCTTACTTATGGGCATTACAGACTTGTGCCCATGGGTTGCTTAGTCGTGTGAGTGAGATCTGTCGACAGTGAAGACGTGGGGGGAGATCGATTGTGGAGATGAAGGGGCTCGGCAGTATCCGAAAACCATTTCGATGTGACAAGCATTTCTCGAAGTTTTGGCATCAATTCAGAGCTGATGTGGTCCTTACCTACATGTAATGTATGCCTTGACGGTTCCAAGATGATCAAATTATGTCTCCGATACATTTGCATCAAATTCCAAAGTGCGACAAGCACTTCAGTCGGTGTTGAAGAACGTACATCCAAAAATTCTATGAACTAATGTGCTCGAGATGGACCAGGTAGAGATGCGCGAGCACTTGAAAACATCGCCTCAAACTTTAAACTAAGGCTCATCCCCTTGATGATGCTCCAGCATCGCTCAGTACATCATGCTTGGGATCCAGACATGCCATGCGCGAGCCCAATAGCATCATTTCGAGATTGTCCCACGGGCCTGAGGGATCTGAGACAGGGACGTGCTGGTCCCTAGGGAGGTCGACTTGAAGGCGGTAGGCAGGGTTAGTCTGCACGGCTGTAAGGTACTTGGTAAGATAGTCTCGGAGAGCTTGAATCAAGCCGTCCATCTGGAAATGGGGACAGTTTTACATCAGCGCCATGTCAGCATGACCCAATATATTTGTATACTGACCAGTATGTTGTAAGATATAGTTGCCCAACCTCCGATGGGGTACCCGCCATATTCAGAACTTTCGCGTGCCATACGGAGTCCAATTGCACGCGGAACGACCTCAAAATTGACCATCTCCTTGTGAGACCCAGCACCGTCGTTTGCTAAGATCCACCAACCCTCAGAAACCCACAAAGGCGCATCCACCTCTGAGGTACCTTGCCAGCGCTGATGAACTAATTCCGGACTCATGCGTTGACTGATGTGTAGAACACCATCACAAAGAGGCAGTGGCTCAAAGAAAGATTTGAAGTGGACTGCAAAGATGGGCTTCGGTGCCTACGACAAACTACTTCATTCCTTCGAACTCGAGAACAATATTAATCCATCGACGTACCTGAGGATAGAGGAATTTCGTCTTGCGTGATTTTATGACAATACTATCTTTCAGGCACTGTCCGGTAGACTGACAGATACTGAGAACATCTCGTTTCCAGCCCACTGGGAGATCGGCACATGAGCATCCATCTCCCTTGAAGTTATGAAGATTAAAACCAACGTTAAATCCATAATACTTACTATCTTTCGTGTGCTTACCAGATGTCCATTGTATTGATATTCAGATATGCTAACCCCTTCCCTATCACGGAATGATCTGTTCGTGGCAAGTATGGAGTGCTGCAGCAGTATCCATCAGCATGAGTTACCAACGTGCGTCAACAACATCACTAGTGCACACAATAAGGTTGTTTGGTTTTGAAAGAGAGTCATTTGCACGATGAAACAGTGTTGATCGTCCTCCTGTCATCGACGAGCCTCGTCAAATGTCAAATGTAGACTCAGTCGAAGAAATCCTCTGAATAAAAGGGACTTGTGAACAAGACGAGTCGACATCAACTAATTTCGCCATAAAGCGGCAGCGCTTGGTCCAGGATAGGGCAGGAATACTGCAGAAACGACGGAACAGAACAGAGATATGGCAGGCACGTGCACAGCTCTGTTATATCCAGGCAAATACTCAGCTGTGATTTTGCACGTCTCGTAAGTTGAACCCGCACCTGCTCAGGGGCCTGGGATTTCTCAGGGGACAGCTCAGGATAATACTGATTCTGCATTATTTAGCACGGGAATTGTACACAGGATAATTTTACTCTAAACGCAGTGATTGTTATTTTCTGCTGTTCTAATTTTTCCTGATTCTTCTTGGTCTCACTCCCAGCTGCTCCTGGATACTCCTGGATACTCCTAGAAGCTCCTGGGAGGGTCCAGGAGCAGCTAATGGAAAATACTTCTTGGGTCTCCGAAAGTATTTTCCATTTTTCTCCATCATTTCTTCCTCAATTTTGCAAATAATTATATGTCCTGAAAGCACTTTAAAGGCACTATAGTGCCTGAATTTTTTTGATTTTTTCCCTAAATTCTTTTTTTCAACTTTTTAGAGACCAAAATTTTCCTCCCACTGCTCCTGGCACATTGCATACTCCTCACCACTCCCAGCCGCTCCTGAACCCCCTCCCAGGAGAACACTATTGGCTCCAGGAGTGCCCAATCTGCTGTTTTGTCTCCCACATGCTCCAGCCACTCCTGATGCTCCGGAGCATAACAGACTTTTGCTGATGTTCCGGTAAGCCTTTCGGTCTCGCTGAGGGGAAGGTGTTGTGACCTTTGATTGCTTTCGGTGGGTGGGATCCTGATCGCTTACTCAGGTCATTTCTAGGTTTCTTCAGTTGTTTCCTTGTCCCTTGTAACCTCTGCTCTTGTTCCCCTTGTTCCTCATTGTCCTTGTTTTTCGTTTTACCCCCCTCCATCCCCGTTCTCCTGCCTGTTGTACATTACTCTGGATCGTCTTCAATTTCAAGAGGTTCTGGCATTGGCCAGGACCACGCTACCTTGTTGCATCTCGTCCTGCGTGCACACAAGCTGATTGTCAGGGCACACCCACCTGACCCGGCTCCACCTGGCCCAACCTGACCCGGTACCCCGCCGGTCCACCCTTCCTTACCTCCTCCCCCTTTCCCTTCTTCCCCCCTCATCCTCCCCTCCTCAGTTTCTCCTTATCCTACTTCTCCTTTATTTCTACATGGACGACTTTCTCTGTATCAATGTACAACTGACCCATCTGCAGCGTGCCCACCATGTACCTGGCCCGGGCACCTCGGGCGACTCCCCACTGTGCCCAGCATATGTGCCTGCACCGGATACCCTCAGGATCTCCCATGGAGACACCCGGGTGGTTACAGCTGTGTGCGAGGGTGACGTGGCACTCGTCATGTGATCCAAGCTGCATGTATATAAACGAACCTGAAGTGGGAACCGAAGAAGTAGCCTTCTTCTCAACTTTCCACTTCAGGTAAGTAGTACAATATTTCTCCTTTAATGATAATAACAACTTTCCACTTCAGTCTAAGTGGCCAGGGACCACTGTCCCACATCGGGCCTGTCAGTACGCACACCCAATCCGCCCCCCGCCAGGCTCTCGGTCCCGGACGCTATACCCAGACCCCCTCGACCCTGGACGAGTCCCTGACACTGATCTCCATTTCTTCATTTGGTAGCACTCCAGAAAATCACAGCATGAAATGGGAATCAAGTTCATTGACATGTCCCCCATGTAGGACAATCATGAAAGGACATTGCTATTTGCCACTATGAAAAGGGAGGCCTCACATTGCGCTGAGGAACACTCACAATAATTTATTTTGTCTTCTAGACACTGTTACTGTGGTGCTGCCAAAGCTGCCATCCTGGTTGCAAATGCTGACACCTTGCCCCATCAGACTCCTCCAGCCCTCTAAGGGTTCAGTTTCGCTACAGGATGCGATAATCCAAGTTAGGCTTCATGGAACTGTATGATCGTGGTGGCGGAGTGTAAGCAATAAGCTTACATAAGCGTAGAGAACCATATATAAGCTAGAACTTTTGTTAGAACTGGGCAAGGGTGGACGATTCCAGAGGGGAACCGGAGACTTAGCAAGGAGGGACCTTGGCCTCAGCGACTCATGCGGAGCGCTGTGCCATTGCTGTTTGTCCATTTGGTCCTTAATTTCAGAGGCAGCGAGCAGGAAGTCTCTAGGGGGCATTTCAGGTCGATTTTAGACTGAAGGTCCAAAACAAGTATGTACAAGCACCTGTATATAATAGGGAGACGAAAGCACAAGGGAAACAAAGGGGGTCCGAATTGGAACAAAGGCATCTGAACAGGAACAAAGGGATGACAGAAGCGGAGCAGTACTGAAGGTCATGGGTCAGAACCTGTGGTACATCCGAAAGGAGATAGGGAGGGCGAAGCCCAGAGGGGCAGGAGGATGAGGTGAAGTGGGGATGATGACTAACTGGCTAGAATGGAGAGAAGCAGCAGTCCAAATAAGGATGAGGGGAAAACGCGAAAGATACATTACAAACAGCGAAAGTGCCGAGTATGATCCATGGAGCTCGGAGGTTACAGAGGTTACAGAGGTGGGGTTGAAAGTCCAAGGAATGTCTGAGTACAGGGTACAGGACAGCAGCGGAAGGTCGTAACTTGCTGGAGGTTTGGTGGAAGAGGGTCAGAGGGAGGAGAGAGAAGAGAGGAGTGGAGGAGAGGAAAGGTGTCAGGTCTGAAGGTGAGTATCTGTGAGGTCTTTGGGTAGCTCAGCACACAAAGCCATAAGTGATACAAGAATGTGTATTTTATGGTGGTGTGTAAGCAGTTACCCGGAGGTTCCCGCTTACCCACGTGACTATATGTATCTAATTTACATATGACTCGGGGTTCGGGGCTATTGCCCTGACATTCTCCCCCCTTGCATTGCATTTGCGACGCATACAAGGTTGATAGTGAAATAAAACAAATTTTTAGTAATTGATTTACATTGAGTTTGGAATTGTCAATGAGTGTTTTCGTTGTTGCCACTTTAAAGTGGGCGATTTTATACATGTCAGTGAAGGAGAGAGGAAAGGTTTGAGAAGTAAATGAGTGTGGGCCATTACTTTGAAGTGAATGGCGATACATGGGTATCGCAGGGAGAAAGATAATGGAGTTTGTCGAAAATGAATTTCGACCCAAAGGTTGTATGTCTTTGGTGTTCCTCACTTGTTCCATGAGGGTTCATGTGTA